GATAAAGTTGAGTTCTGGTCATGCGATTGCATTGTGAAAGAAAAGGTGTGGAATGGATCAGAAAAAGTTGATCATTTAGCATGTTAGTATTGGTGTGTACTGCAAGGTTCTGGAGTCATACAAATCATAATCAATTTGGCCCAGTCTTGGTAAAGTAACAATCACTGTACACAGAAAGATGTATATGGGACTACACAAATGTTGTCGGGGTTACTTACCTTGATATCCTTATCTTTCTATGCTCATTACTCAGCCTGTATACATTTTCTACCAAAATTATTTGGCAAATGACATTTATTTGTAATCTTGAACATTCAGCGTAAGTTTCATTTGATTCTGTGAGAATTCTTTTTCTTTTACCAGAACTGAATTTTATCCTTAAGCTATACATGAGCAACAAATGGTAGTGTGAAATTCACAAGATAATACAATTCTTAAACACCTAACTATGTAATGGATTAATCAACCAGTGGAATTATCATCTCTGCCATGAATGAAAACCAATCCTCTTTGAGGAATTACGCAGAAGATGTTAACTCCAGAAGGGTGTTGTGACTAAAAAGAAGAGTTGTAAAGCGTTGATGTTGTAGCAACGGACTATTCATGACGAAGGGATTTCGGATAAATCCATTAGTTACATTTTGTCGGAAAATTTCGAAGAATTTTCAGATTGCAATAAAATTTAGACAAATCCTCTGAAGAATTTCGTTACTAACAATGTTAAGATAATTGGGTGTTACATGGGCAATATTATCTTGTAAACATAAAACATACATTAGCAATTTTTTCTAAACTACGACAGATAATCATTTTTTTCACACGTGTTTCCCCTAACAGTACTTAGCTGTTCCTCTAGTCCTTGTCTGAATGGAGCAACTTGCATAGAATCTAACTCAGGACCTTGGTATGTCTGCCGATGTCCTGCATCGTATACAGGAAGAGACTGCAGGACCAGAGGTAAAGCTGATTCTGATAGTGTGCATTAGTTGTAGCTGGGCAGTTACACATGGAGAAAATCAACTTAAGATCCGTGATGTACGAGTTCATTAAACCTAAGTCAAATCAACATGTGTCTTGATTGTTGAAAGTATACTAAACTGGTTTCAATAACTTCATCAGCTTAAATATAAGAAATTCAGGAATACATTTGTTCGGGTTGTAACATAAAATATGCCGAAGTTTGTGAGTGATTCTGACACTAATGATATTTTTATGTTTAAGCTGTACATGATCAACAAATTTTAGTATAAAAATCACAAGATAATACAACTTTTAAAGACCTGACTCTGTAGTGGTTTCATCAACCAGTGAAAATTATTATCTCTGTTATGGAGGAAAACCAATTCTCTGAATGTTATGATAATTTTGATTGAGTTGACGCAAAACATTTTAACTTCGGAAATGGTGCAGTGACTAAAAAAAAAGGGGGGGGGTAAAAACTTTGATCTCGTAGACTAACACTGGTGTCCTCCTCCCCCCCCCCCCCCCCCGCCCAACCCGATGACTGAGCCCACGCTACGTCACTGTGTGTAGGGAAGGGGTAGTTGAACACAAACAAAACGTTACAATCCTAAGAAAATATATGGTAATGCGTTCTCTGATATATTTATTAAACTAATTTGTATCTTAGTAAGCTTTATTTCACCATTTACCTCTTGGGTATCCAATATCCAATATCCATGACCCAGGCACGCCTCAGGGTCATTGTAGGATGGGTGCGCGTTCCCTTAAGCCTACAAAACAGCCAGGCCTCTCAGAGCAGTCGATATCTCTATAATAATGGTGAGATTTTCTCCCTGATTTAACTGAGCAAACCCCGCAGGTGGCCCTTTTACGCATGGTCTCATCTGCAAGTACGTACGCGCGAGCGATACACTTAAGATACATACATATTCATGATTTGGACATGCCGTCACAACATGGACATTCTTGACTTCCTTCTAGATTTGCCCAATTAGAAGCTACCACCAATATATATGTAAGCGATGTATATTTTTCGCCGTAAGATGAAGGTATGCCGACCGTTACAGATTTGGAACTGTTTAAAACGATATGGCCGACAGTTTTTGACATTTCTTAATCCCAATCATAAATATTTTGATAATCAAACACGCGATTGACTTGTAAAAGTCATGGGATTCCCGACTGATCTAAAGGTTTATGATTATGATTGCAGCATGAGCTAAAATCAAGGATTTTGTTTCGAATCTGAGGCAAAGTTATACATTTCCAGAAGCAAATGTAAATAAAGGATAGGAATCTTATCAAGAAATAATGAATGAAAGGGTTTTACAAAAATGGAAAGGCGAATAGAAGAGGATGGAGATGAATAGAAAGCAAGAGAGATATGACACAAAAAGATAAGTGGGTAAAGAGAAATAGCTAACAAGTACTTTCCCAATCCCAATCTTATAAGACTCTTTATCTCCTTTCTTTTACTGACAGTCGTCAAATACTTTTTGGTACCCCCTTTATTAGCTAAAGTCTAAACCCCAGTTATTTCTCTCGCCAACCTTTTTAATCTTTCTCGGCCACTTTGAATCTATCACGCTCGTGAGTTTTCAACATTTCTCGCTACTTTGCGATATCCAGGTTCTCTACTGATCTAATCCTTTCCATCAAAATGAATTGTTGCCATTTCCCTGTTCACGCTGAATTAAGAAAAGGAATCATATTCAATGTCCAAAAACTATATTGCCCCCTTGTTGTAGGGCTTTCACTGAAAATACGAACGATAAATTTCGAATTAGTTTTTTTTATAAATCCTTTCAGATGAAGAGAAAAGTATCTTACCAATCTTACTCGTGCTCATTGTAATCGCAATCTGTGGACTGTGTAGGCTCGTCAACAAAGCAGAAACGACTGAAAAGAGTAAGGACAAAGTCATATTGTACTCATTTCTTTTCTTTCTTTCTTTGGAAGGAGATGGGCTAGCAGAATCACGCAAGAACAAGAATGTCTTTATGCTGAACATAAACTGCCATAGATTAGAAGCTATTCGTATCGTTGCAATTTTTAAATCTTTTATTGGTTTCCTTATACGATGTATTAGAACACTTATACTATAATGCGTGTGCACGAGGTATCAAAAGTGTGAGTTGATGTTTGTCCCCAAATTCCTTTTTCTCGCTTCTTTCTTATTAAATGGCCGTAGAACCTGTTTTTACACGTACATCGAAGTTCCTGGAAACACATGAATTATTATACCAGTTGTAGTTTGGGTTTCGTGAAAAACACAGCACTACTTAGGCGTTGTTGACCATGATTAATAAGATTTTCCGAGGCTTTCGATACTAGTAGTCATCATTTACTTTTATACAAACCCAGTTATTATGAAATCAGAGGAATAGCCTTGGAGTGGTTCAGGAACTACCACTACCTTCACAATAGGCAGCAGAATGTTTATTTTGCCAATGCCCTGTCTATTAAATACGAAAGATGTAAGTTGTGCTGTTCCATATAAGGTTCTATTTCGGGTCCGCTTCTTTTTCTGGTTTATATCAACGACTTCTGTAAGTCTTCGGAGGTTTTATCTTTTATTCTTTATTCTTTATGCAGACGACACAAATCTTTTCTTGTCAATATTTATCATTATCTTACTAGGTCTGCCGGGCTTTTTCATCTACCAAAACAAAAACTTTGCTCTCAAATAAATCATTTGTATTTTCAGGCTAAAAACTTTGAAACTTTCTTTCAGATCCAATTTAAATAAAAAGAAATTAATACAGCAATTCATGTCTCCCACGGGTTAAACGTCCAGGATATGGGAAGACCTACTTTTGTACAAACCCAGTTATTATGAAATCAGAGGAAAAGCCTTGGAGCGGTTCGGGAACTACCACTACCTTCACAATAGGCAGCATGATGTTTCTATTGCCAATATGAAATATATCAGTTGTGTTGTTCCGTAAGATTCTATTTTGGGTCCACTTTTTTTCTGGTTTATATCAACGATTTCTGGAAGTCTTCGGAGGTTTTATCTTTTATTCTTTATGCAGACGACTCAAATATTTTCTTGACAATATTCATCATTATCCTACTAGGTCTGCCGGGCTTTTTAATCTACTAAAACAAGAACTAAATCATTTGTATTTTAAGGTTTAAAACTTTGGAACTCTCTTTCAGATCCAGTTTAAGTAGAGATTCGTTGTTGTTGTTTTAGTCTTAAGGGCGTGTGTCATTCAATTATAAATATAAACCAAGGTATTATAGTCTTAGTAGAGGGTTTAAACCGAAAATTAATACAACAATACATGTCTTCTACGAAGACCTCCCACGTCTCCCCTGTTTAACCCTCTCTCTCTCTATCCCTCTCTCGCTCCTTCTAATGTGTGTATTGTGTAGCTTTGTTTTATTTTGTCTTCCCTGCCATGCCTTGTTTTGTCATTCTGTTTTTCCGTATATTTTGATTATTTAGACACTTTAAAAGGGAATATGACAATATTTCATATTGTATTTTCTTTTTTTACTGTGATTATTAAGACACTGATTTATGAAAATAATGTTTGTATGATATATATACAGTGCGTCCCAGATAAAAAGAATTATCGATATTTTATCATAACTTTAGCACAATTATAATTGATAAATTACACATATTTGGAAAGCTTAGATCCTCCTCTTTCATTTGATGCAACTCATAATAATGCATATTTCACGCATGAGTGATTAAAATCAATTTGAAGAGAGGAAAACAAAAAGTCCTTTGGCGGACGATATCTGAATTTCTAACAGAAAATCACATTTCTAGACTGTTGAGTTTCTGCCCTTTCATATGACACCTCAATAAGGAAAAATGAGTTAGGAATTACAAAGTTCTGTTTGTTTAAAGTAGTGCTTGCATTTCCATAATTTGATTAAACGAATTCGTTTTCACTGGCTGCCTGCCGTATCAACAAACGAAATTAACAAAAGACTTAACTCCGTTTTGTTGACAATCACCCGTGCATTTTTTCAAAGCTGAAATGCCCATTTTTTTTCTTCTGTATGCTAAACGGAGTTCCTTCAAGAAAGCGAGCGCAACCGCTACTAAAGAGATGTGGTTTGGATGATGATCTCACCAGGCAACTTCATCTCGAAACTCAAATTCGCCAACTACGAGGGAAAATCATAAACTATCGGCCAGGAGAATGGACCTTAAGAGGTGTGAGTGATGAATTCAAGAGGCCACCTAAGATCAGACTGGGTGTCTTCGGTGTCACGTGTTCAGGCAAAAGTACATTGCTCAACTCACTCCACTTCAGCTTAACAGGTGCGAAAACAAAATAATGTAATAATTTGTAAAGAAATTTCTGCTTGCGCCCAGTAAGAAAATGTAAATACTCACATGAAGTTTGGGAGTAGCTAGCCTATTGTCATAATGGTGGACTGAAAGATATCAATAAGTCATAAATATGAAAGCTGAGGTATTGCTTTCTAGTTTTTCATACATGTGCCATGGACCAGTGATGGCTAGGTGGTACACTCTAAGAAAACAGGGTGCAACATAAGAGTTTGCACCCTTTACATAAAAATGAACCCTATTGAAGGAAAAAGGGTTAAAAAAGGGTGCAATATAAGATTTTGCACCCTTCCCACCAAAATGAACCCTATCGACCAAAAAATTGTGCAAAATAAAAGTTTGCATATTGCAGGCATTTTCATGATTACTTTCCACGTGTTCACATAAAAATACATTTATCATGATTTGTTAAGCAAATTATGACAAAGCACATCAATTTTGTGATTTGTATTTTCTTTCGGCAATCATTAACCAATATATTATTTTGTCTGATCATGTTACAATTACATTAACGTCTTAGCAATATATATATTGATAATATGATTACTAACCAAGAAACATCATGCATGGTTAATATGTATTCGTGTACGAGCAAATTTTAGGAGTATTCCTCGATGATGGGTGCAGGATTGCACCTTTGAAAAAATGCAGGATTGAACCCCTAAAGGTGCTGCTATTGCATCGGTTTGCACCCCTACTGGAGCAGGATTCAACCATTAAGGGTACTAACATGTCTCCTAAAAGGTGCATTCTGGCACCCTCTTAAAGGGTGCAGGATTCAACCCATAAAGGTGCTGCTAGTGTTGCACCGGTTTTCACCCCTAAAGGTGCAGGATTTAACCATTTAGGGTACTAACATGTCCCATAAAAGGTTCATTCTGGCACCCTTTTAAAGGGTGCAGGATTTAACCCCTAAAGGTGCTGCTAGTGTTGCATCGGTTTGCACCCCTAAAGGTGCATACTCGCACCATTTTTTCTTGGTGTGTAGAGTCGCCGCCAGACAAGGGTAGATGGCTGGTTCAAATCCCGCCGGTTCCAAGACTTGTTCTTACTTGTTTTTATATACAAGATCGAGCACGCAATCTTGATATTTTCCTGGGTGCGACCCGAGATTGCTTCTCAAAGTGAAATTACTCACAGGAAGCCTAATATTATAGTAATAATGACTACTTTGAGAGACATAGTTGTTTTTATACGCTCGAGGGGAGGTAAAATCGTGCTATTGCCCGAGGCGTGCCGAGGGTAATACCACGACGTAACCTTTTCATTGCTGAAAAACACTTAAAAACTCTCGTCGAATTAGAAAAATCTTCATGCTTAATGATGTAGACATTGTTAGAATTGAGGAAATGACGCTGAAGTCCGAATCTAATTGTTAACATAGACTTCTTCATGTATAAACCCAATAAACAAAATCACGTGAAAATCACGTCAATGTCAAGGTATCGACTTGAGGAGAGTTACGTTCTTCAAACACCGGACATTTACGTAAATGTGTTAATACGTTTATTGCATTAGGTAACTTGAAACACACGTACACTAAATCACGCAATTGTCACTGCAATATCACCATTATAATAACGTGATTATCCCTACCTTGGAGACCATGGTTTGTAAACCTAATACTCCCGTGTTTGTTTGGTTATGAAATTACATCTTCATACACGAAATTATCGCGTCACAGAAACACGTGAAGCGTTAGTGATAGTTTTAGTCAAATTATCTGCGTGAAATTCACGTGAATTTTACGAGGCTGACTTGAGATGAATCATGTTCTTCATTCACGTGAAATTTACGTCGAAGAGGAAGTATGTTACTGTAACCCGCGTTCAACCCAATAATTACGCAAATGTTACAAATGTTATGAACCAAAATAATGACGTTCTCATCCCGTTTCTGAACATCGTGTCTTGGATCTTCCATAATTACGTCCAGGCGCGCCGGAAGCAGTTTGGGATTAGAGGGGGTTGGGTGGGGGGGGGGGGGTGCAAACATCCCAGAAGAGAAAGCTAGTTGCAACTGGTCCAGTTGATGATCCATTTAATGCCAACTGGTAACCCTGGAAATTGAAATGGGCTAAATGATCCAGTTGATCCAGGCCAGTTATAATTCAACTGGTCTAGCTGAGCCATTAGAACCATTTGGTAAAACTTCCAACCAGTTGAACAGCAACAATACTTCAATACTGGTACGTCTGTATTTCCAATGTAAGGGCATTGGTAATAAGTAGACTTACATAGTTGAATTAATCGAGAAAAAAATCGTATACTTGTACTTTATTAGGTGATACGTACGTAGACGTATCACCTTTTGATTTCGTCAAGATTTTTATTATTTATTTATTTATTTATTTATTTATTATTATTCTTCCTCGAATTTGTTCGCAGGATATCTCAAGACTGAATAAAGCCATTATCATGAAACTTGCTATGATGATAGATCTTAGTCTAACTTAGAACTGCATGACTTTTTAGAGAGTCAAAATTATCGTGACGTCATCCAGGCGCCATTTTGTGAAAATCAACTAATGATCATATCTTCATGACGGAAAAGTATTTCTCATTCATAATTATCACGATTAAGATAAATATCCGTCCGGTCAAGTTGAGGTCAATAAAAGTGCGCAAATGCGCGCGTGCGCGTTCGTCCGCGCGTTTACGCGCGCGCAAAAATTTAAAATGCTCTAAATCATCCCAAATTTTTTTTGCATACGTTTCAGGCCATATGGAGCATTTGATAAAAAAATTACGCACACGCGCATGCGCGCGCGTTTTCGCGCGTACTGGCATTTTGCAACATAGAATCGCCGATTTTTTTTCTGTCATCATATTCGGTACATTTTTCCAAGCATTTTGATAATTTGTTCACCTTTTATTTACGCAACGAGCGTCCGTCAAAGTTGACAGCACGCGCGGATTTACGTTATCTTTATCCACAATACATGGGCAAAAACATGCCTACATAAAATTCATTGTAACTCTTTAGAATAGATAGAAACTCCTAATATTTTTTCATATTTGGATAGATTATGAGTCGGAGATATGATTTCATGTCTCATTTTATCCTCAATTAACTCATGACGTCATCATAATGGCCTCCAAACTCAAAAATTCAATTTGCATATTATGACGTCAGCATATTTTTGGAAAATTGATTGTATCTCTGTAAATGTGGATCAATTTTCTTTTTAATTTTGATATGTTCTAGCTGAGACAATTTTCTACAAATGTAATATTCACAATTTTTATTTTTGACAAAAGTATCAGGGTGTATTTTTGCGATTGAAGGAGGCATGTCAATTTTTCGCATTTTGCGTGTATTCTCTATGGGACATGACTTTTTCTCAAAACTGGATCCTACACTCCTGTCTTTCGCGAGCAAAATCTCCGTTGTGTTAGCTTTGTTTTCGCTGAGCTTTGGATATGTTGTAGCTGAGACAATGAGCTATCAAAAGTGTGCCTTTTATTTTTCGATTAGATGCCAGGATCAAGCTCATATTTCACTTGCAAAGTAGGATTTCTGAATTCCATTTCCCGTTTACGTGTAATCGCTATGGGAGATGTTTTGGTATATCGGTAACGCACTTGACTTCCAACCTCGAGATCCCTGGTTCGAGTCCGGGTGTCTCCAACACTTTTTTTTCCTCACTTTTTTTTCCTTTTGACCTTCACTGTACCATCTCCTTTGATTATTTAAACACGTAGATTCGCAAATAATGTCATAAATAACCCTTTTTACTTTATTATTACCCTATTTTCACTTAATCCATTACTTTTTGCGTGTAATCCCTATGGGAGATGACTTTTTCTAAAATCTGGAGTCTACATTCCTGTCTTTTGCGAGCAATATCGCCGTTATTTCGGCTTGGATTTTGTTGATTTTTTAGTATGTTGTAGCTGAGACTATATGCTATCTAAATCAACCCTCATTTTTTCAATAAGCTGTCATGATCGCGCTCATGATCATGATCATGATCATCATGATCATCATTATCATAATGATGATAATCATTTATCAATTACATTTTCATTTCTTTGAATAAGATAAAAATCGTCAAAAGGTGTTCTTCATGATGTAAATTAGAGTCAAATGTGTATCTGGTTACTGCACAGGGTCGAAGGTCATATATTGTTTCAATCTATCTTCCCTAGATCCATGATGATCAAGGAGACACAATTTAATCTTGACATATGAATAGATCATAATGGGAGAAGCATATGAATGGGAGAAGCAGTTTACAAAATAATATATCGTGTAATGCATTATTCGTTATGTAGACCATTATCATACGTATCACCTAATTCGTCTGTGACGAATTAAAGTCTAGTTGAAATTATTTTAGTTCAGAAATTCAGTAATTAAGAAATATGCTGTAAATTCAGATAAATTTAATTAAATTAGGCTCCATCGATTACCAGCCCCAAATCCCATCCCTATTTCATATACACTGTCAAACAGTTCGGACAAATTTCACAAACCTTTGAGTTCAAACGAAAATGCATTTTTAGAGGATGAAGTTCTACCCCAAATAGGGTAAAATATACCTACACATTATCCTGTGTAATGTTTTTTCACAAGAAGTTTGTTAATGCATTACTGGCACTTAAAGAAATATTGCAATTTATTGCTAGCTCAGCCTTTTCAGTTTTACTTTGCTCATTGCGCTCTTTATAATCATCGGCAAGGTACCTGGAAGCAAGTCTATGCCGAGGGTCAAAACTTCGGGGTAGGAGGGGAGACTGTGTTCAGAGGCTTCATGAAATTGACTGATCACGTGACCACCGTTGACACTCGAGGCATCTTTGATTTCAGTGCTCGCAGACTATCTGACGTCATGGCCGAGATTAGTAAGTATATAACAAGCGGAATACTAAGCTCTTGTATGGTGAGTGCATTTTCCACCAATAATAGGTACACAGACCTTCGCAAAGAAGGCATACAATCTTTATTCATCCATGATAGGGCTCATTTATTTTGGAAATGCACATTTAACAAAGTAATTTTCTCAGCTACAGAGATAAATTCCCCTATTCTTTGAATAATAAAAAATACTTTGGAGCAATGTTCAGATTCCATTCAACTGGTGCCAAGTTGTTTTTAACCTTTATTTGGAAGATGAAAAGTATTTTAGTCGGTTTATTTTTAAATTACCAATGTGTTTAAGTATCCAATCCATCGCACATTTAATCCTTAAAAAGTACACTCAGGGAATCACGACAGAACAAATCACTCTTAACGAAATAATGGCAAACAGGCCAGCTCAGCATGACTCAAAACACATTCTATCCCCAAAATAAAGTGACGGTCACAAAGGTTCGTACGAACGATTATTTCGTACGAATCTCCCTGTTTTTCCATTGTTTTCCCGAATTTACATTGTCTGAAAATCGTTCGTACGGCGTTCGTAGCAGTTCGGAATGGCATTTGTGACCGAGGCTTAAAAGAAACTGTCGACAATGAAATGCAGTTTGCTATCATGGAAATATTTCATTTAGATTAGACCTGGCCACTATATATTCCGATTCATTGTACACTCCATGATTACATAATCATTGTAATTGGAACATCAGTGTAGAGAGTAAGAAACGGGCTCTTTAAAGGCAGTTAAAAGGTATATAGATAAATCATTGTATGAGATAAACTCTCTTCAAACGGGTAACTTTATTTGTGTTGACAGGTGGCACTAGGGGAATTGCTCCGAATAGGCGGCATAGGACTGAGAAGATAGACTGTCCCATCTTTGTCTTCAAGTACAGGTATTGTAGACCTACCTTAATAATACTAATAACAACAATGAAGATTGTGATGATGATGATGATGATGGTGATGATGATGATGATGATGGTGATGATGATGATGGTGATGATGATGACCTACAAACCGCACCTCGAAGCCCTACGTGCGAAAATCCCAGCACGGAACAACTTGTTGCGCCGGTTGGCTGGTACATCATTGGGTGCATCAACATCCACCCTTTCGCACAGGAGCACTAGCACTGGTTTTCAGTGCTGCTGAATATGCTGCACAAGCGTGGTAGCGTGGTGCAAGAGTACCCACACCAGAAAGCTGGACTGTGCACTAAGTGACACCATGCGTGGTGCAAGAGTACCCACACCAGAAAGCTGGACTGTGCACTAAGTGACACCATGCGGCTCATCAGTGGATGTCTCCGCCCTACAACCACAGATCTCCTTCCAGTCCTTGCAGGAATCGCACCACCAAGGCTACTCCGAGTGCATCCGACAGACAAGCTGACAAACAAATCCCTTGCTGGTGAAGATCACCCTCTACACAAAATAACGACAGAATCCCATAATCTAGGTCGTCAACGCCCTCGATCGCGTCGACCCTTCTCTCAATATGCAGCCGCCCTCAGCAAATCAGACTGCAGCCTAATCCAAGAATTGTAAAAGAGCTGGGAAGACCCACGGCAGTTTACTCCTCCCCCTCCACCCTCCCCCCCCCCCCTCCCCCCTACCCCCCCCCCCCCCCGGTGTAAGAACACTTTTTTGTTGGGGGCGGGGTCCTGAAAATTGGAAACATTTGGCCGGCCGATATTTCATCCGGTCGGGGGGGGGGGTGGTTAGGTCGCATTTTTTTAAAGCAACCCTTTAGCATATTTTCTTTTTTTAATTTTTTTTTTTTTTAAACAATTTATTAGGAGGGTTCGTCAAAATTACACACATGAAACAAATTTGAGGGGGGTTCGATCCCCACCCCCCCCCCCCCCTGCGTACGTGCCTGACTTGATATATGATACTACTAACTCATACGTAATAAGAAGAATGATGATGGTGATGGTGTTGACCCCGTTGTCTATGATGTAAGTGATTTGTTGTAAGTACAAAGCTAAGAAGATCTGTGATGTAAGACTTCGTTTCAAACTAGGGGCGCGTAGCAATGATGTGTTTCCCAAAAGACAATATCGTTCCGGTTTTTGCTCATGCGCTCTGGTTGCTTCCGTGCTTTTGCATGATGATGTTATTCTCTCCTTCGTGTTTCTTATTCTTTCATGTATCCAGCGTTGTCACTGGAACATTGCCTTGCATGGAATTCCTAAGCATCCTCATAGACGCAACTAAGAAAAGATTTGGTAAGTATCATTACGAATATCTCCATTATGATTTACATGAATGTTAAATGATATCGCATTTAGAATCGAAACAATTTAATAACAATGAATAAGTTACAGACCAAAATTCGCCCAACCACCGCCCAAGTAGATAAAATTGGGAGAAAAAAAGGGTCATTTTTCAATTGAATAGTTGGCATCGGCCTTGAAAACTGCACCTGGCTTCAGCAACAAGGAATGGTGCTAGAACTTTTTTGGTGATGGGGTGAGGAGGAGGGGGGGGGGCTAGGAGGCTTAATGGTTCTTACATACATTTTCACCATATGCCTCGATATTTTCTAGGGGTAGGGAACTCCCCCCCCCCCTCCCTCCTATCCCCCAGCTCTCATCTAGAATCGCTACTCATTTCAGTTTTCAAAGATGACGTTTTTCTTCTTTTTTATACGACCAACAGCTTTCAAAGAATCAAGCCAAGGCAATTCCATTGGCCTTCTACACCACTCTATTAGATTTACAAAAACAACGAAGTATAACGTAATTTCTATTGGAATTATAATAAGGTATTTAAGTTGTTCCTTTGGGAATTATAATAAGGTATTCCAGTTGTCCCTTGAATTTACTTTTGGATTGTTGCTGCGATCATGTTCCTTTTCTTTTTAATTCTACAGGCGCGTATCCAATCATGGTTTTAACCTTCGGAGACAGCGTAGCCGATAAAGATAAGATCCTACATGAAATCATCCTCGCAGGTATGCCTAGAAGCAGTGTCTTCTTCATTGAGAACTACACGAAGGATAACCATGAGATGATCAAAGAGAGACACGTGGCACTGCTGAAGATACTAGAAGCCTGCATCTTACGAGCTGATGACAATATCACATTCCGATGGAAGAGAAAACAGGAATTAACTGTGTGCGAAAAATTGAAGAACGTATTTAGTTAGATATAACATATGGCTTAAGGTAGATTAATTTCCAATAAAATTGTAATGATTCGTACTAATTTTGAAAAAAGTGAAAACACGTAAAGATATTGTTAAGCTGCAAATAATAGGAAAAAGGGAAGTAAATTCCCACTTCATGGTTTATCTCCATTAATCCATGTAAAATGTGTAATTAAATCTTATATCTAAATATATAAAGGAAACATATTTTTTAAAGAAGATGGAGTTTGTATTTGCCAATTTTTGCTCCATTCATATTTGTTTGATTTGTCTCTGTGTTCTGTAATAAATGGTATTTTGATTGTAGACAATTATACTGATACCATAAATTATATAAACAATATACGGTATAGAATGTAATAATCATGAGGAAAAGAAATAATGATGCATGTTCGGAGGCAGAAAGGCGTTAATTCATATTCTTTATAACACAGGGTTATGGTCCCTCTGCCTCTGAACACAGGGTTTATTCTAAGTTTCCCTTTCTTTTCTCAGCTTCATAAAATCAGGAATATGCTACTTCGGTAGTCCTACCGCTGTTACAGAAAACTGTGGGTTACAAAATCTGTTTTAAAAAAATTATATGAATCATGTACATTATTTATAAACAACATAAATATTACTTACGTATTTAACGCTTCAAAATACCAAGGCATGTATTTTTCATGTTGGTCCCATTTGGTATCTGATCTTGAATGTGTTACTAAAGTATGTTACCAAATGCATACTGGAGCCGGGTGATTTTATCTGCAATATCAAGAGAATTCAGTTGTCAAAGCCCAGTTGCTTTAAGACAATATTGGATTCTGGTCATGCGAATGCAATGTGAAGGAAACATTTAAGAAGGGTACACAAAAGAAGTTTTGTATTTTTAGGTTCTGAAATCATCAAAATGAGAAGAAGTTGATCAAATATTTCTGGAAAAAAAATCACAAACACAGAATAAAAAAGTACAGTGAAATGGTTATATATAGAACTACACCCATGTGTCATGACAGTTTGGTCTAAATTTCAAATATCTTTCTTGCAATATTTCAATATAAGAATGCACAGAGCGGTCTTTTTAAGCGAAATTGCTTTATAACATGCGCGATACCCATCCACACTGACAGAAAATAGAATTACTTATCTCGAGATTATGCGTCACCTGTACCTGGTCTCAGTTTTCTATTTGATTTGAATAACATATAAAAATGATATATTGCTGTTATGCAGTATCTCATATATCATTTAAAGTATGATGGTAGTTGTTTTGTTTTGAAAAAAACATTTGTGCTTTACTCAAATATATACTTAATGTGTAACTAGTCAAGTCTATATCAAATATATATTTTTAAGCAACTAACTTTGTTATATATGCTTTATTTTTTAGTTCATATTATATCAGTATTAATTCTATACTATGTATTACGTAACGTCGTAATTTGGATGTTTTTATCCTTGCTCTCTATTGGGTAAAATAAATATGATTTAGCTCAGCATTGTTCATCCTTTAAAGAAATAAAAAGTTTTGCGTCATCCTAACCCCGAATTCAGTACTGAAGATTCATTTTACATCATCTTGGTACTCGTCAAGTATCATGTACACTCATACGGACACACTTGTTTATGTATTTTTTTAATTGAAAAAACGCGGCCGAGCGAGGCGAGCGAGCATAAAAGAATGACATTTGTAGTTTGGTCAACAATGTTATTTTACTAGAACAGAGTTTGTTTTGTTATTAAAAATATGTATGCTTGCACCTCTCTGCCGAAAATATTAATACAAAAAAAATTATATACGATCACCTCGATACATGAAAATGAGGACATTCGGGAATCTTGCTTCCAAGAATCATTCTGATCTAAGTCGTCCCAGCGACTGAAGCAAACGAGCATCATACACAATGTTATTTTTATATAAAAAAGTATAAAAAGATATATTTGGGCATCTTGCTGCTAGAAAAGTGAAAATATTCGGGCATCTCGCTGTCAAATAGATATTCTAGCACCTTAATGCCTAAATATGGAGGTAGTCATGCACTTCACTGCCTGTAATCATCTTTTTTTGAATTTCTACATGTGAACGCAGCGAACGAGGACAATACATTTAGTGTCTTAACAATGTTATATCCTCATTAAATAAATAGCGGTTTCTAGTATTTTTTTTTACACGAAATTGAAGTTTATTTCAACATTCTCTCGCGCCATTCCTAGTTTTCAAGTGTCGAGTAGGTTGAACAACGCTGATTTACCTATTGACTGCTAGGGCGATACCATGGCACCCAGAAACACACCATCAGGCGTGTTAAAAGAGTTTAAATTATATAATTTTCAATCTGACCTTATTTTCATGTAACTTTATTAGTATCATATATACATAATCATATGAGGGAGGATTCTATGCTTTCAGATGTGATGGAACATAAATAACAACTTTTTATTCATATTCTCTCAATTGTTATTTCTGCTCATCTATTTGTCGTTTATGTCTACTGTTAAAGTTGTGCTCTAGAATTACTGTGCACATTTGTTCTCATTGAATAATAACAACTGTAAAGCGCTTAGGCACATTGTCGTATCGATGTATTGAGCGCTATATGAACGGAGAATATTATTATTATTATTATTATTATTTACACTTTAATGAATATCAAAGAAAATTGTAAGGTCATGTCATAAGGAAAAATATCATGCTCACTAAGCAGGGGAATCACGGGCACAAGAGAGAGAGAGCGAGGGGAGAAGAGAACAGGGGAAAGGGTGAGAGTGTGAGAGAACAAGAGAGAGAGAAAGAGGAACAGAAAGAAAGAGAAAGAAAATAGAAAAAAGGGACAGGGGTAAACGAAGGAAAGAACAAAAGATAGAGAAAAAAAGAGAGAGAGAACAAAATATAAAGTATTAAGGGGAAAGGTATAAGAGAGGGAAAGAACAAAAGGAGAGGGTGGAGGGGATAGGCAAAAGGGTGAGAAAGGGCATGAACAGGAAAAAGAGAGAGAAAAGTATTTAAATAATAAGTTAAATGATGATGATGATGATGATGATGATAACAACAAAAAGAAAACGAAAAAGAGGAAGAAGAAGAAAAAGAAGCAGAAGATGGCTTTAGTGTGTCGATCGTTCTGTACGCTGGAGTGTATTAACTTCGAGATAATCGCGTTTAAAGGTTTTGGCCTCTCTAATAATCAAAAATTTGTGGTCGTTTTTTTGTTTTTGAAGAAAAAAAAATGTGTTAAGTTATTAGGTTTTACATGATATGTGTTAAATGTGTTATAAAATATTCAGAATTTTACATGCTATGTGCAAAAAACAGGTTAGGGCTTTTTTGGCATAAGGCTTGAATGTAGCGTATTTATGCCAGAAGGGCCCTAACCTACTCGGCATTATGCCAAAAGGGCCTTAACCTGCCGTTATCGTACGTGCGCATAGTTAGCGCCCTTCTGGTATAAGGAAATTTTCTTGTTTCGCAACACCTTTGGTTTGCCAGAAAGCCCCTCCTACGGCTACTGGATCACGAAAACTGATAAAACTGATTAATTAAAATGTTTGAAAAAGTATTTTTGATATCTGAATATTTGTATGCAGCTTTCGGTAAAGTTATTTTTTAGAAACCGTACATTTAGGACACCTTTTTCGTTGTTTATTTTCATAACAGTCCCATACGTTGACATCTGCGTTTTTTGACGAGTTGGTCGCATTTCATGCATCCACACCTCATTTAAATCTCACTCAGATTTCATGATATAAATTCATGACATATACTTTCAGTGATTAAAAGTACATTGTGTCTATTGTAGACTAATCATGTTTTGATGGTGTTTCTACTGATATTTATTGAATTAAATGGAAATTACGAAATAATCTGTCATTGATAAAATATTTTCCGTTTAGGTTAAGGCCCTTTTGGCGTAAGGAAAAAGATGAGATACGCGTTAAGGCCCTTTTGAAATTCATAATTATCTTCATAAATAAATCGAATTTCAACAAGTGAAGCACATCATTTTAAAGAGAATGATGAAATCTACAAGGTGATGTTAATAACTCAATAACCCCCAAAATTGGGTTAAGGCCCTTTTGGCATAAGGCCGACGGTATGTAGTATTGAGGTTTTACTTTTTTTTTTAAATACACGTCTTACAGGTTAGTGGCAGCATAATCTTCATTTTAATTATTTTCTCTTTATCAATTTTGACTCATATAACGCTGGGTCATCTAGCTTGTTCATACAGTTAAATATGTTTAAAGTCATGTTTGGTTTAACTTTGAAGCGAGTCACCCTATCATTAATGGTCTATGTATAGGTAACAGTCTGTACTTGTTTTTAACTGTATAATCATTGTCTTCCATGCATCATTAGATGTTTCTCTTTCCATTTCTCTTCCTCTTCCTCTGCCTCTTCAAATTTCCCTGCCATCCCTTCTCTTTCTTTCTCTATCTTTTTCATAGCTGTTCCTTTCCCTTTGCCTTTGCCTTTGTCTCCTTCTGTTTCTCATATAATAATGTTTCTTTCTACCAGCAGGGCGTTTGCTATAAACATGCGAAGGTCCTTCAACTTGCAGACTTGTACTTATTTATAGCCGTCACAAGTCAATAAGCCTCACTATTTTGGGGACTTTGTGCCCATTTAATGTAGTCATTAATTGCTTTTACAGTTCATGGTATCATAAAATAATTTTGCTTTCGTGGTAAATTATATTTTAAAGACTTGTTCGTGTGTATAATTTTGTCAATATGCTTATGAAGATATGTATCATACAATGTTATGTTTGCTTTATAGTGGAATAAACTGAACTAAAGTGAACTGAACTATATAATTTCAAGTCATAATACTGTTAAGTCAATATGTATTGGGAAATGCACAGATCAATTTACATTGGGCGACATTATAATTGATTGTAAAACGGTTGGAGGAAGAAGAAATGAAATTATAAAATCACGTATTGAAACATGAATGCCTATTATTAGTAGTCAACTGTATGGCATGATAGTTTATACACAGTTCCTCTCTGTACATTTAGGTATCCAGGGGAACAATAGTAGCTCACCCAGGAAGCCTACCCACCCGCCCCCCCCCCCCCCGACCCTCGATGATTAGTTTTCTTACCTACCTCAGCTGTTCCAGCCATTCAAGGCTATGTTCAAGATATATAGGAAAATAAAACAAATTAAAGCCATGTAAAAGAAATAATTGGATGAAATGAAGCTGTATGTGTCTTTAAAAAAAAAACCATTTAGAATATTCAAATACTTCATTGGATGTGTGTGGGTGTGCTAGTGTTTTGTGTAATTCTTCTTTCCCTCTTTTTTACAGACTTGTTTCAATCAGATACGTTACAAATTACAAATATCTTATCTCAAATCAAGGCAAAATATACAATACTTTTCTATTCTCACCTATTACCACCACTGTTGCCATCATACTGTTGATATATTATGGTGTTGATGATAATAATGATGGTAAATAATATAAGTAGGAGTCGTAGTAGTGGTGGGGGTGTTAATTGTGGTAGTGATATCAGTAGTAGTAGTAGAGGTATCATTAATAGTAGTAGTAGAAGTAGAAGTAATAGTAGTAGCAGCAGGGCTAGCGCTAGTAGCGAATGTTTACTTAAAGGTACTATGTCCCATTTGCAGGCAAAATAAATGAAAAGGTGTAAATTGATGTAGACAAATGTTCATGTATCCTTTACAGCTCATTGTATGTATTTTATTACCAAAGAAGGAAAAAGCCAGTCAGTCACTCAATAGTGTGTGACAGTGAAGTGTAGCAAGTAAACGGGTTTTCTTGCATAATTTGAATATTAGGACACTGCTAATGTTTGAATTTTACAGACAGGACATACATGACATATTCAGAATTCGATGTTGGCTGCAAAAGGGACAACGTATCTTTGATGTTCCTCGCTTTTATTTAATTTTCCCAATATTTCTTTAAAGAAAATCGAAAAGCTTCACAATGATTTGGACTTTAGATCATAAATCAATTTATTGCAGACATTAATTGCATTTCTGATGTGTACAAATATTTAACACAATTGTTCCGTGGCATGACAAACACTTCAAACCATGTTTTCAATCACATAGTAGAGTCCGTTTTAACAGGTGATACTATAAAACGAAAATCAGACAATATTCATGGTGATAGGGGGGGGGTTAGAGATTATGGTATATTTAATATCCTGTGATGTTTCCTGGTAAACAGAGTGTCTATCGAACTAATGCAAACAACTTCCCATGGCTGTAGAAGTTTGTAAAGGGAATGTTTACCCTGATAATAAGTTGGATTTGATATAGGCAGAAAATGGAAAAAAAACAGACTTCATGAATGTCGATCTTAGTGACTTTGTTAAGGAATAAATCTTATTCATAAAAAGGCTCTGTATCATTTGCAATTTATTTCGATATCTATGTCTTTGGTGCAGGGAGAAAAAATGTAAATATATATTTATATCGGTTGCTCTCACTTCTCTTTTAAAAAGACCCAAACATGTGTTATATAGGTATGTTTTTTTGTTCTTTTAAGCATGAAACGCTGTCAAGGGCCCTATACAAAACAATTCTTCAGACATGCTTTCACGGTAAATTAATACATATGTAGTATTAAACGTAAAACTTTACTATTCTACTTAAAACCGATGTAACATATTTCCTATAGTCCTATATTCATAGTAACAAATGTATAGATGGATCACCACATGACCACCAGCTTTACGTTTTGTCAGATGGATTAAGTAATGTAGTATTACAACATTAAAAATCTTGGTTAACATGCATTCACTACCTTTCTACCTATACCATACAATCTTGTTATAATATTGAAGAAATCTTGAATTGAATTTGTATTCGTTAACAAGAATAAGACATTGCATCTCGCAAAAAACCGCATTACTTTTTTATTAGCCATTTGCTCAAAGTAAATTAGATTATTGTGATGTTGTTTTGAATAATATGAAGAAACAAAACATTCAAAAACTACAAATTTTACAAAATACATGTAGATTACTAAATACAGTAATAAGAGTAGAAAGTAAAAACTCAACTAGACTTATGTATGAAAATTTGTGTTTGGATACCCTAGTTGAGAGACGTATCAAACATTTTCTATATATAGTGTATAAAATTGCAGACCAGGTGTCAGACAAATGTGAAGCTTTCTGTTGTATTCTTCCGTTGAAGGTTTGTTAGACATGTTACGTGCATTCGTCACAGCTAAAATGGCCATTTGTTTGTCTATGAATGCACACAATTGCAGTTCCTTCACAAACGCAAGCGCAAACCATATTTCCTGAAGACACTACAACTAAGCCACGCCAACTACAAGAGGAATGCAATATAGGTGATGACTTCACGACGCCACCTAAAATCAGACCTGGCGTCTACGGTGTCCAGCATTTAGGTAAGTGTATATTGCTCAACTCATTCCACTTCAGCTTAACACGCGCAATCATAAAATTGTATGCCAGTTGTATTCTTCCGTTTGAGGTTTGTTAAACATATTACGTGCATTTTTTCAAAGCTGAAATGTCCATTTGTTTTTTT